AGAATGCCCAGGCAGGCAACAAGTTGGAGACCCAGAAAAGCAGATGGTCTAAGTTCCAGTTTCAGTACAAGTTTGAAGGCATAAAACTGATAACCCAGCTCAAAGTCAGTGAAGCTGAGAGAAAGACATCTTTTTTATTCAGCCCGTTTTCCTATTCAGGCTTTCAATGGATTAGATGAAGTCTATACCTTCTTTGGGCCTGTTTTATAATCTACTGATCCAAATGCTAATCTCATCTAGAAACACTCTCACAGAAATATTCAGAAATAATGCTTAACCAATATCTGGGCACCCCATGGCCCAGTCAAGTCAATGCATACAATTAACCATCGCAAATCTCAAAGCACTCTGAGCCCCAGACTGAGAACAAGATGGTGGTCATCAGCACTGGGGAAGAGTCAAGAGATGTAGGAGAGATGAATTCTTTGAAGCTCAGAGCCTGCTGATGTTTGAGGTCAGGGCAGGAAAACAGAGAAATCCCACAATGAACCCAGCCTTGTGCTGCATAGGAGGCAGCGGCTGCCTGTGGCTGCTGGTAGGGAAGAGGAGAGCAGAAGAGCTGAGACCCCTCCTATGGTGCAGGAGCACTAGGCCTGACAGTGGGTGCAGGCAGGGCAGGAGAATTAAGACAAACCTCCCAGGCACTCAGATCTCCTTCCTGGCTAGAGGAAAGAATTTGATCTTGTCCTCAAATGATTTGAAGTCTATAATAAATAAAATTTAACAAAAATAACAGCGAAGCCTAGACCCAGCTCAATCGCAACCTAGATTGGCCCAATCCTTCACACTGGTGGCATGAGAGAAGATATGTGACCTATTCTGGGCTCATCTGCTAGTTACTTTAGTCTATACTAACATTTTATACATAACAAATGTGATTCAATAAAAAATTACAAGTATATGAAAAAGCATAAAAAGTGACCCTTCTTCAAAAGAAAAAATGGTCAAAAGAACCAGATGCAGAGATTGCTTGAAGGCAATCTTTGTTCACACATGTATTAACAAATGTGAAATGTAGCAGTGAAAAGCTAACTATAAAAAAATTAAATTCAAAAAAGAAAGTGTCAGAAATGAAAAATATATCGGAAATAGACTTCTTTCAATGGACTTATCAGCAAACTGGAATTGCTGGGAAAAGAATAAGTGAACTTGAAGCCAGATCAATAGAAAATATCTAAATTGAAGGATAAAGAGATAAAAGAGGTAAGAAATAAAACGAAAGCATTCTAATTATTGTTGTGAGGACAAAAAAAAAAATCACTGCAAACTTACAGATGTAGACTCATACATACAGAGCCAATGGATTTTTTCCGAAGATGGCAAAGCAATCCCATGGGAGAAAGAAAGGTGTTTTCAGGAAATGGTGTTAAAACAATTGAATATCTATATGGAAAATTAAAGAACTTCAATCCCTCCCTCACAACATATACAAAAATTAATTTGAGATAAATCATAAACCTAAAAGTAGAAGTCAAAACTGTAAAGCTTCAAGAATATTTGCATGAACTTGAGTTAGACAAAGCTTCTTAGACATGACTCAGAAAGCACTAACTGTTAAAGAAAAATTGATAAATTGAATTCAGCAAAATTAAAAACTTCTGCTTTGCAAAAGACATCAATAAAAAAATGGGAGAGCCACAAAGTGTCAGAAAATATTGACAATGTATATGTCTGACAAAGGAGTTGTATCCTAAATATATAAATCTCACAAGTTAATAGTAAAAAGACAAAAAACTAAATTTTCCAAAATGATCAAAAGACTTTGACAGGCACTTCTCAAAGGAAGACATATTTACAATACAGGTATCTGACAAAAGACTGATGTCTAGAAAATGTAAATAACTCCTACAAATCAATAATAAGACAAACTACCCAATTAACAACCAGGCAAATGATTTGGACAAACATGTCACTATACATACAATCTAACTATACACTTATGATCTGTGCATTTCACTGCATGTACCTTAATACAAAGGAAAAAAATGCTGCTCACTTTTACCTGGAACTGATTTTTAAGTAGCTGCTAGTCAGTATGAGACAGATGGGTAACTACACCAGGACTAAGCCAGTAACTAAGTCAAGTCATTGCTGTTTGGTGACTGGGTCTCTAAATCCACTCCAAAAACCAGCGTAAGACAGGGTTCTGGACTGGAAGCATAGGGACTTCTTGGAGGCATGTGCCAAGCAGACAGAAGTGAGCGTAGAGGAAGAGAGAACAAAATGAAAGACTTCCTACTTGAAAGAAGACTTCCTACGCAAAATGAGTCTGCAAACCAGAGTTCCAAATCACAGAAGAAATCAAATACTAATAAAGGCAGCTAACAAAATCAATACTCAGAACACGAATTCACCCAAATATAATTAACCTCATTAAGCAGTGCAACATCGACTTTAAAATAACTATTCTGAGGATTCTCAGTGAGAGGTCTGAGGGAATCATATCAATTTAAAAATTGAAAAAAAATCTTAAATGATTTAAAAATACTGGCATAAAAACAAAATTGGTAAACATGCAAAAGAACCAGCTGTAAATGATTTATATGGTCATCACGATAATTTTTTAAAGCACAATTGACTATGTGGTCTAAATTAGACTGAAAGAATGGATTAGCGGATTTGAAGATAGTGCTGAGAAACTCACCCTGAATACAGCATACAGTATAAGACAAAGATGATGCGTTTTTAAAACATGAAAGGAGGGATACAAGACATGAAAGACAGACCAAGAAGCTCCAACGGGAGCCCCTACAGGGCACTAGCAGAGATACAATAGCTGAAGGAAATAATAAAACGATTTTCCTAGATTGAAGAAATGTCTAAATCCTCAGATCAAAAGTACATTCTGCGTACTGAGCAAGATAATAAAAAATAAATCCACATCTAAACCAGAGTAATGGATCTGAGAAGCACCAAGGAAAAAGATAATCCCTTAAAAGTCACCTAGGAGAAAGGACAGCTAAACTGCAGGGGAACAACAATTACCTGGGCAGCAGATTCCTGCCACGCAACAGGAAACACCAAAAGACAGTGGCCCATCCGTCACACTCAAGTCTCACATTCAGCTAAACCAGTACTTGAAAGTGAGGCAAAAGAAAGTTATTGTTAAAGATACAGCGCATGAAAGATCTTACCAGCTGTAGACTTTTGCTATAGGAACTTTTAAGAGATTGCTTCAGCAAGAAGAAATGTAATTTAAGGCCAGGTGCGGTGGCTCACGCTTGTAATCCCAGCACTTTGGAAGCCGAGGCCAGCGGATCACGAGGTAAGGGCTGGAGAACAAACAGCCTGGCCAATACAGTGAAACCCTGTCTCAACTAAAAATGCAAAAAATTAGCCGGGCGTGGTGGCAGCACCTGTAATCCCAGCTGCTCTCCGGGCTGAGGCAGGAGAATTGCTTGAACCTGGGAGGCGGAGGTTGTAGTGAGCCAAGATCGTGCGGCTGCACTCCAGCCCGGAAGAAAGGGCAAGACTCCGTCTCAAAAGCAAAGAAAGAAAAAAAAAGAAAAGGAAAGAGAAAGAAATGTAATTTAAAATTTATTATTTTTTGTGCACTCTGTTTCTTTTGTATCCTGTTTTTGTTTCCCCAGAGAGAAAAACGGACATAAAGAAGAAACACAGATACAAAGTAAATAGCACAAAAAATTGATAGAATTTATTAGCGTATTTTAACTCTTGGCTGTTTATTTTAAAGTTACCTTTTATGTTAAAAAGATAAGGTAAAAATTACTTGGGTTAGTTTTTCTCTCTCTCCTTCGGTGTGATCATGTTATTCATTTGAAACACAGGTTCGTTTTTGTTTGTAATCTGTTTTAAAATTTGTTTGCTTGTTTTAAGTACATATGTGAAAATAATATGGTTCTAAAATTCAGAAAAGTTCAGAACTATTCAAAAAGCTTTACCCAAAGAAGCGTCCCTCCCCCATGTCTTCCACCCTGCCTTTCCCACCCTGTTTCCACTCACCCCCGCAGCCCCTGTGGATAACCAATCTTTGGATTTCTGGTCTATCTTTTCTGTGTTTCTTTCTCCACAAATGAACAGACATACATGTATTTTCTTATTTCTTCTTCTTTCTTATACAAAAAGTGGTTACAGTGGAGCCCACCTTAAATCATTAAATGTTATTTAATAACTTTGAATCTCAAAAGGAGGAGTTTGAAATCTCAATCATTTTCTCCTGAGAAGCTCATTGTGGGCAGGCTGATTTATTTTGCAAATTTGCCAATCCTGGCTTCAAGAACATTCAAGTGCATTAACCAATGGGAATGTAGGGGAAGAGGGCTCCACCCATTACAGAGGGTAGGATGTGGCCTGATACTGGACAAAATCTTACTTGATGCTACTTTCAAAATGATGGGGGATGGGCCTGGATTTAGTTGATGGCTATTATGGTGACCTTTAAATAAATGAGATTCAAAGTGGCCTCACGTCTTTACTGCTTGAACAACAGCTTCCATGAAACAGTATTCCTGTCTGAGGATGAGCCCATCATTCCATCTGGTCAAGGAAGCATCTTTTTGAACAGAGATCCCGTAATCATCCTTACAAACTGCCCCTCAGTATTGGATTGGATTAGCCAGATTTGAGGAACTCACTTTCTATGTCTTCATCTAAATTTAAAATGTTGAAAAAGCCAAAGGCAAGGGAAGACATTTATACTCCTACACTGTAGACCTCCCTCAACATGGGCTCTGTAATCCATTAGTGAATATTCTATAGCTATTGTTCTGAAACAAATCAGACAAGATCCTACTATATCACTATCCTTTTATTCTTGGCCCTATCTTCCCCAAGGAGTTGCACATTTTCTAGATAGTCTTAAATTAAGAGCAACTCTCATCATACTGTCTTTGAGGGTTTAATTATCAAGCAACAGCCTGACTAAGCCAATGCGTATTTCTCTTTTTGGGATTGGAAATGGAAACTAAGTTGATTGACCCCAAGGAACAAGAGGGAACATGCCGTTATATTTTAACTAGTGTGTAAAGAAGGCTCTTATGCAATTAATGATCTGGGTCTTTCTCTCCAGGGAAGTTTGTTGTGCAGAAAATTGCTGTTGGGATGAAGCTTTGCAGCCTTGCAGTTCTTGTAGCCGTTGTTCTCTTCTGTGAGCGGCATGTCTTCGCGTTTCAGAGGTAACCCCATAGAATCCCAGACTGTTTGGGCCACTCTCCTCACCTGCTTGCCTCACATCGCGTCAAATCAGTGCACTGGGCTGGTGGGCAAAATGGTAAACTGTGAAGACCAGATCTTCGGAAACTTTCCAAGTTGCCCTGACAAATAAGTAGACTTTAGCACAATAGACTCTAGACTCTCACTAAGGAGAGGGTCTTTTTTCTTTCCTGGCTCCGGTTTTATTAGTGGGAGAACCTGGGATGATATGCATATCCAATGACTATGGAGATTCAAGAATTAGATCTTTTATAAAAGTAATTATTAGGCCGGGCCCGGTGGCTCACACCTCTTATCCCAGCACTTTGTGAGGCCAAGGCGGGTGGATCACAACGTCTGAAGTTTCAGACCAGCCTGGCCAGCATAGTGAAACCCCGTCTCTACTAAAAATACAAAAATTAGCCCCATGTGGTGGTGTGCGCCTGTAGTCCCAGCTACTCAGGAGGCTGAGGCAGGAAAATTGCTTGAACCCGGGAGGTGGAGGTTGCAGTGAGCTGCAACCGCACCATTGCACTCCAGCTTGGGTAACACAGTGAGACTTCATCTCAAAAAAAAAAAAAAAAGACCAAGTAATTATTTATACTCTAACTTGATATATGATTTGTATTCTTCCTGTTTTCACATAAAAAATATGTTAACTATGGATCATTTATTTTCTCTTGTACATGGAACATAGGAGGAAGAAGGGGGTGAAAGTGGTAAATAGGAGGTTTGGGTTATACATGATTATTTAGCGTGGAATGTGAAAGGAAGAATAGTTGTGTGATAAAGAACTAATATCTAATTCTTATTTTGCTTAGTAGATTCCCTTAGGATAAACTATAAGAACACAAATGAACTCATGCTATAGCATATACAATGCATGGAATGAATAGTTCCAGGGTACATGTAACGTAATTTATTAAGTAGTCAATTTTTATGCTTTCAAACATTTATATTGTCTCCTTTGGAATTATCTTACTTTTCCCCCTTCGTCTGCTTCTGTGATCCCTTTCTCCTCCAATTATCTTTGAGACAGATCCCTCGCCTATGTTAGTGAATGACAAAGAAAGAAGAGACACGGGGCAAAGGATTATACCAGGGACAGGGAACATTCTACAAAAAAAATATATAGTTCATAGTCATAAATAACCATCGGATGACAGTTCAGAAAATAGATCTTGACTTGTACCCTGAAGCTGTGTTTGTACATGATCACTGAACTAATTATAGTTGATTGATCTTCTTTCGTTTGATATGATTGTTTTGCTACAAATTCTATCATAAAATAATGGTTGTTATTTAATTGACATGGGTGTCAAAATTGCTTCAATGATCGGTTACTTACGTCTCTCTCTGTATTTTATCACTGAATCAGATGGTCAGGATTTCTAAGGTTCTTGCTAGTTCCAATATTCCATAACTTGATGATTGGCTTCAATTAAGGGAAAAGAGAAGAGAAAAATTGGTATCAACATGTCCAACTTGGTTACAGTACACAGTGGCAGTAACATTGACAGTGAGGAGAAAGAGAGGAAACCTCTGCTTATTTAGTGCCTGTGTTTGTGCCAGGCACTGGGCTAGTCACTTAGAAATGCTGTCTCTCTAAATGCATAAAATTCTACACTCTAGGAACCTTTACTGACATTTTACAAAGGAGGAAACTGAGCCTCAGGAAGAATGCATCGTTTTCCCAAGATCAAACACTAAGTGTAGAGCTTGGATTCAACTCACTTTAGCCTCATTTCAACACTGTGCAATGCACAGCTTGCTTCTAAAAAATTTGGAAATAGCCAGTGGAAGGGAAGTCAGATTTAGTCATAGGGAGTTGGAGGCAACAGTTGGTTTGGAATGCAGCTTGGAAGAGAGGTTCGGGATTGGAGGTCCAGCCTCACGGTCCTCACCTACTAGCAGGTCTAATCAGGGCCTTGGCATCAGACCAGCACAAGCATCCTCAGCTGACTGTTGCAGAGGCTGGTGGGCAGGTGGGCTCACTGCAGACTGCTGTCTTGATCATTGAGTGACACAAACTCGTGGATAGGATGATCATTAGCAAAACACACCAAAAGCTTTTAGCACACCTCTTCAAATGAGTATGTGTACAGCAGCTTAGCGACACTAAATAGAATGCAAATAAAATAAATAGCCAAAAATACAATAGTAAAAAAAATGAGTGAGAAAATGTCTTCATGGGTGGGTTTTCTTACTATTTGTTGCTTCAGTTTATACTCTGAAATCTGACTGATACTTGAAGAAAGAATGAGAATGTGACTGTATTTTATCCAAAGAGTATCCCATTAAAAATATTTAATAGTTCTGTATACTGCGAGAGTTCCTTTGTAGGGGAGGGGAGGTAAGAGGACCTCAGTATTGTAGACAGATGCATATCTGGATCCTGGTTCCCATCCCTTCACTAGAAATAGCATTGCACATTATTCTTTCTGCGAGTAAAAATAAATTTTTTTTTACCAAATGTTTTCAAGCTCTGCTTTTCCAGGAATGGCCTATTCCTGAAGCTAAAAAGGAATCTAATTTCATTCAGAGTGACAGACTTTGATAAATTATTGCTGAGGTGAGAATATAAACCATTATTTAAAAAAAAAGCTTTAGGCTTTTTCCTAAAGCTGTTGCTTGTGTTTTTGCTTTTGTCATGATCATTTTCCTAATTACAGTTTTTATTCATGCAGTCTCTTAGTGGCTGATTTGTAGGTTCATTTTGATAAATCTCATCAGCGAAATGCCCTGTAACAACAGCAACAACAAGTTTTAAAAGCATAAATATCATATTCCAAAGGGAAAGGCAGCCAGAAAATCACGACTCCATATTCATTTGCTTTTAAAAGCCAAACCCTATAAAGGGTAAAAGCAAAATGCTAGCAAGAATCTTTTAGACAGAGTCATTAATTGTATTGTGCAATGATTACCTAAATGCAGCCTGCCAGGCCAGGCTATCTGCAAAGAGGAAGTAAGAGAAAGTAGGAAGAAAAGAAGACTAGGAATTGGAGAGTGGAGGAAGGTTGAGGACAAAGGGCTTCTGAATTATTAATAGACCACAGGAAGTGTTCCTTCTGTTGACTCACATACTGTCTGGGTACCTGGAGACCAGTTTATTCCCTTCCACTTAGCTCCTACTGATGTATTGTTTTCATCTCAAAGAACAGGCCACCAGTGGCCTTCAAACACTGTAATGTGTAAAACAAAGTCGTAACCTTGGGCTATGTTCCATCTTCAGAGATATCTTGCCAGCTTTTTAAATGCAAAATAATCCTTCAGAATGATGACAAGGTGAACCCTCTCCTGTAAACCGTAGTAGAAGATACACCCCAATGAACATAATCACCTTCTCAGAAGGGAAGGAACAGAGAAGTGTTGCATGGCTATTAAAAGCTCCAGATCTGGATTTGAGCCCCAGATCTGCTACTTATCACCCACGCGGCCTTGGGCAATTTGCTTGTCCCCTGTGAGTCTCCCTCTACTTTTGGTGTAAAGTGACCTGTTACTTCTCATTCTATTTTTGGTGCAAGGCTGTTCTTCTTTCTCAAGTAGTTATTGTGTAAGTGCTATAACTGTATCATTGAGGTGCGACCAAAGCACAGCTTTAGTTTTTGTCTCCCATGGCCCCATGACATTTTGCGTAGTGGGGTTGTCTATCACTGTTCTTGCATGGAAAGTTAGAAAATGTCAAGGCTTTTTAGCCTCCCCTTACGTGACAGTCCTTGGGTCCTGTTAAAAATACAAATAGCCTCAATTCAGAAATTAGAATGTCAGCTCCAAACAAGGGATTGTTCAAATATCTCAATCTTTGTTCTTAAGAGAAAAACTTTAGATAAATTAAATTTAGCAAAGTTTAATTGAACAAAAGCAATTTGCTAATCAAGTATCCCTCAAAAATGAAAGTTCATAGAGTTCTGCTCGGCAAGATGGGCAGGCAGCATTTACAAACAGAAAATGGAAATGAGGTCCAGAAGCAGCTTGATTAGTCACAGGTGAGCAGCTGTCTTATTGGGGATAGGCTGATCCGTTGGCCACCTGGGATTGGCTGTAGCTTGGCTGCTGTAATTGGCTGAGACACCTCATTAGTACAAAAAAAAGCAACTCCTACGTTAGGCTGCAGTTTGTTATGTAGAGACTCACATTACGAGGCATCCTCAAACCAAATTTAGTTTAACATTATTTATAGGAAAACAACTGCCTCACCTCTTCCACACACACTTCTCACTCTTTTTCTTGTTAGTCTTTTTCTGGAATTCTAACTTCTTAGAATTGTGCGAGTCATCTTTACCAGGGAAGTCTCTGGACCAGGACAGATGCTTGTCTAGGTATTCACTTGAGACTCCATCCTTCACGCTTAGGAGTCTTGGTTCTACCTCTGGGCTCTTGCTGCTGAGAACCTTCCATCCCCTTTAGATACTGGACAGCATCTAACATGAACTGTTTCATTTCATTTTACTTACTACCATCTAGCCAACTAGAGGCAGGTTTAGCGTTCTCAGGAGAAGCCAGGCACCAGTTATTGCGTCTGTAAATTTGAGCAAACATCAACTTCTCTTGTTATCTCCTGGAACTCTCCCTACTAGGTTGAGGTGAAGGGAGTGCACCCCAAAACTTCATCCCTTGGGAGAGTAATGACTTAAAGAACCATAACAACTTGCTCCATAAAAAAAAAAAAAAAAAATTCACAAATCCGCTCCCTCTTTCCACTCTGACAGCTTTTTATATAGCCTGTCTACAACTACGTAAGGGGAAGCAGCATCATGAAGCCAGTTTCCAAAAATCGAGTGATCTGACTGACCCTCATACTGTTAATTCTGTTGTGTTAGCACTTGGCTCAAATTCTGTATAAGAGTCCATTCACTACAAGTTGAACTTGGACATATCAATATATTTTACAATGAATTTTTAACTTCACGATTTTGCTCCTCAATATTTCCTAACTTATTTTTTGCATTTCCTTAAAATTCTTTCTTCTTTAAAAAGAAGCCCG